TAATCTCTTCAGCAAGTATAATTCCTTTGTCTCCATATCTTTACTGGTTGTTTCAGTGCCAAATTTAAATTTCTCAAATCCCTCTTGTCTGACTTCTGCTCCTGATTCTGAACATAATTCTGGTTAAAAGCAACCAGAAGTGCCTATATGAAAATCTGGATGCTTGGCTGCCTTGAAATTCCATCTACCTGATAATTAGCCTGTATCCCTTAAACACAGATTCCCCAGAATATTGGCAAAGTGTAAACAAATATCTGGCTAGAGTGTAACAGGTTTTAACCTACTTCCCAATAGAATCCCCATATCCAAACAAAACCGCATGGGCCTGTCCTTTACTCTCCATACTCCTGGTTTTCTGAGCCCCAACCAGAGTCACAGATCAGGCTCTACTTACATCATTTTAGTGATCGTCTAGTCTACTTTGTCAAACCTTCCCAAGCTCTCCCACAAACTAGTTTCAAGGTTTCTGAACCACATGGCCAGGTATAGTTATAGCAAGGAAACTGTCAGTAGCAATTTTCTGCATTAGTCCTTTCAATGGGACAAAAGACCTAACGACCACATAGTAAGAAGGAGAAATTTATTGTGGCTCACAGTTTAAGACTATTCAGGCCATGATCATCTGGCTGCAGGGAATGCACATGATGGCAGAATGGTGTAGCGGAACAAAGCATCATGGTATCCTGGGAAAAAAATCTTAGAGGAAGATCACCAATAAGCCATATACTTTCTAAAGTTATGTTACCTGTGACCCACTCCAAGTGGGCCCTGTCTCATATCAGCACATTCATCGATGGACTTCAGTGGATTAACTGATAAGCATAAAGCCCTCCTGACCCAATCACCTCATCAGTATTCTCTAATCAGCAAGTTGACCAGTAAGCCTAACTCTCACAACTATGAATTTTCTTATTTCTGATACATTTGGAAGGAATTGATGACAATTTAATTGGGTTTTCTATAGGAGATGAAAAAACAAAACATGATATGGGGTTTCTAGTTTAAGAGGTTAATAATCCTCAAATATCTGACTGAAATGAAGGAACTGAAAAAGGAGACTTTCTTTGAAGGGACAGAGGTAATTTTCTTGATGGATGATTGTGCATGTAGACTCCTTATGTGAACTTGTAAGCTGCTGAGAATAGAGGCAAACAAAAAGCAGCACTTCATGAATGGACTCTACATTTAGATATAATCAGAAAAGAAGAAGTCACAGAATTGGATGACATTTTTTAAAGGTTTCTAAGCTAAACTCTCAGGTATAAAATGTTTGACAAAGTAGTGAGAGTGAAAACTTCCTAGATCTATTGTGATAAATAGGCAATTATAAAACAGCAGGTGGGGGACTGGGGATTTGGCTCAGTGGTTCTGCTGCTGGCCTCTCAAGCACAAGGTCCTGAATTCCATCCCCAGTACCAATATAAATAAACAATATAAAAACAGCAGGTGAGAGATTGACAAAGAATATTGCTTATACAAAAGTTTTGACAATTCAGATTCTGGAACCAGAAACTCTATCTGGATAGTAGTTCAAAAAAATAACTTCAATATCTTTCATTTGTGGCACAATGCCAAGTGGTTTTAAACTTTTGTGAAAAAATGCGTTAACAGTGTTAGGTAAAGGAGCCGAAAAACCAGGACCAGACCAGGACTTTATTATGGAGAGGATCTGCTGGGCTGGTCTCCTAACAAAGGAAAAAGCAGCATGGAGGAACAGGGAGCTTCTTTTATAGGAGCGGGATAGGGTTAATCTGAGCTTGGGTGGAGTTAAGTGAGGTAGCACTAAGGGATTGCAGAAGCCTGTGACATCACTAGGAGGTGCTTATGTCATCACTGGTTACTCTTTTGGTGGGAGAGAGGCATGATGGGAGGAAGGCTGTCCCTTGGTAGTAGAAATCATATTTAACATGGAGGCTACTCTTCCATGTGGCAGCTATTTTAAGGTGCAGAGCATTATGGGAAAGAGGCTACTGTTTCATGTAGCAGCCATCTTTGAGGCTGGGAATAATAACAAACAGATTTTTGTTGTACAAAAGATTATACAAAGTCATGTTCTCCATTCTGTAATGATTGACCTGAATGTGTTAACACTGAGAAAGTTGCAAATATTATACTATTAATGAAAAAGCCTCTTCCTACTTTTAAAGAGCTAACAAGTTTTACATTATATTTAGACAGAAAAATGTCTCTTGTTCATAGAAAAACTGTATTTTACTAGTGCCTCTCACTCAATATTATATAATATAATTCTTTGCTACTTATATCCTAATCATTATCATAAAGCATCAGAAAGTTATAAATTAATATCTTATTATCATGACTCCTTTCAAAATTGCTTTACAGATTATATACAATAATTTGATTTAAAAATTATGCTACTCATTGCATTTAGAATCTATATAGGAAATATTAACAATCTACATTAGATATTAAAATATAAGTGAGCAATAAAATAATAAAATGACTAAAAATTCAACGTTCTATGCATTATTTTTTATTTGTGATTCATATGATTAATTCCTCTTATGAACTTTGTTAAAATAGATGAAAGAAAAGGGAAAATCATAAAACTCAACTTTTGTTAGAAAAAATAAAAGGAGACACACTCTTTTTTTGTTGAATCATATTTCTTGAAACCATTGTGTTTCTTGATTCCTTCTTGAAGCTCAGGAAGATCATATTGAAATTTTCTTTTAATAACCTCCAAAAGATTAATTCCTTCTAGTATAATTATTTCTACATTTTGCCTTTAACACATGAATTGTCTATTACTTTTCATAATCTATTGGTTTGCTATTTTATTATATGTATATTTACTATTATTTATTATATTATCCTTCTAAGTGAGCAGAGCATAAATGATAGATAATACATTATATCATTAATTCAAAATAAAGGTGAATAAGTTATTGCACTTTAGGGAAAATAGGATAAATTTAAAATAATTAACTTGTCTTAAAATTGTTTATTTAAGAGATGTGATGTTAAAATTAGCTTTCTGAATGGAAATTATATTACAGATAAAATATAGGGAAAAGAGATAAACTATCAATTATGAATATTTTAAGCTGTATAAGACAAAATGAAAATAAATACAACTGAGGATAAGCAGAAACTTCCCTTATCTGTGAGACCTGAAATTAAATATTTTTTTATCGACTAAGCTATTGAAAAATTTAACTGAATTTGACAAAGTCTTAACATTCCAATACTTGAGTTTTTTCTTCTCCAAACTTAATTTTTGACTTAATATTCAACAAGTCTCTCTCCTGTTCTAAAATTTTTGGATTTAGGGATGTATCTCAGTATTAGAAGTCTGCCCAGTATTCATAAGAGCTTGTGACGAAATCTCATTATACTCTCTCTCTCTCCCTCTCCCTCTCCCTCTCTCTCTCTCTCTCTCTCTCTCTCTC